AAAAAAAAAAAAAAAAAAAAAAAAAAAAAAACCCAGAGGGCAGAGGTTGCAGTGAGCTGACATTGCGCCACTTCACTGCAGCCTAGGTAAGAGTGAAACTCCATCTCAAAAAAATAATGAAATAAAACCAGGACTTCAGACATCATCAGGATGTCCTGGCTTCACTTCTCATCCCTGCCTTTCTCAGCTTCATTCTCTGTGGCCAGCATCTTTCCTAAGGCTGGGACTGACCCCGTAAACTCCCAGTTTCCATCTTAAGAGGCTCAAAAGCAAACATCAGCTCAGGTTCAGTGTCCTGAGCGCAGGTATTCTGAGTTGTCTTCCCAGTGCTCTAATGGTTTCCTCCAATCAAGAAGGCAGAAACCACTTGGAGGGTTTCAGATGGAGGGAGCTGTTGTATTTTTTGGCAGTTGAGATGGAGTCTCGCTCTGTTACCCAGGCTGGAGTGCAGTGGCGCGATCTCGGCTCACTGCAACCTCCACCTCCCTGGTTCAGGCGATTCTCCTGCCTCAGCCTCCCGAGTAGCTGGGATTACAGGCATGCGCCACCATGCCTAGCTAATTTTTGTATTTTTAGTACAGACAGGATGCTCTACCCTTCCTAACCCATAGAAGGGTGACTATCTCTTGAGTTTGTGATCTGCCCGCCTTGGCCTCCCAAAGTGCCAAGATTATGGTCATGAGCCACTGTGCCTGGCCAAAGGACTGGCTGAGACTTTATCTGAAGGGAGGGTCCTAGGTACCCCACTACCTTCTTCTTCCCCTTGTCCCTAGGAGGCCCGGGCAGTCCTGACCTTCGCCCTGGACAACGTGGAACGGAAGCTGCTCATGTCCAGCACCAAGGGGCTCTTCTCGGACGCTGAGGTACCAGCATGGGGATGAGGGCAAAAGCCAGATCTGGCCTTCCCTCCCACTGACATGCAGTCTTGTCCCAACTCTGCCCTAGATTCTGAGAGTCTTCAGGAGAGCCTCTTGCATTTCTGCTTGTAAAAAAAGAGAGTTTTCAAATTTTGTGGTCCCAGAAACCTTTGTGGAAATGTTTAAGGGAAGCCCAATTTATGGGACAGGCAAAAAGAGGTTGAGCTCAGTTTAAAGTCAGAAGATGGCCAGGCATGAGCCTGGTGGTACACACCTGTGATCTAAGCACTTTAGGAGGCCAAGGCAGGTGGATCACGAGGTCAAGAGATGGAGACCATCCTGGCCAACATGGTGAAACCCTGTCTCTCTAAAAGTTTTAAAAAGAAACTTTAGCCGGGTGTGATGGCACACGCCTGTAGTCCCAGTTACTCAGGAGGCTGAGGCAGGAGAATCGCTTGAACCCAGAAGGTGGAGGTTGCAATGAGCTGAGATTGCAGCACTACATTCTGGCCTGGAGACAGAGCAAGACTCCATCTCAAAAATAATAACAATAAATAAATAGGGCTGGGCGCAGTGGTTCACGCCTGTAATCCCAGCACTTTGGGAGGCCGAGGTGGGTGGATCATGAGGTCAGGAGATCCAGACCATCCTGGCTAACAGCGAAACCCTGTCTCTACTAAAAATACAAAAAATTAGCTGGGTGTGGTGGCATGCAGCTATAATTCCAGCTACTCGGGAGGCCGAGGCAGGAGAATCACTTGAACCCAGGAGGCAGAGGTTGCAGTGAGCCAAGATCGCGCCACTGCACTCCAGCCTGAGCAACAGTGTGAGACTCCATCCCCAAAAAAAATAAAAATAAAAAAATAAAGTTAGAAGATGAGGGCATGTGATGATCCCCCAGCTCCTAGCTCAGAGTGGTAAGCCACCAAAATTCCGGGTCTCAGGCTAAGGGACAGAAGCTTGGAAACTGCAAAAGCATGTCCAACCTAGACCTCATGAGTCTAGGAATACATGGCAGGAAAGATTGGGAGTCTCTTGATTCCGTGGCTCTTAGATTATTCGGGGTCAAGGGGCCCATGACTAAAATCCCAAGACCACTCCAATTATGTGCTTTCTCCAGTTCCCTAGCTCTGCAAAGCTGGGGCCTCTTCCAAGGTATGAGGATGCCTGATTGGTCTGAGTCCTGTTGCTGTCAGAATCTTATCCCTGAAGCCCTCACCCTCTCTTTATTTCTCCTGATCTCTAAGAAACGGCTCATGAAGTGGGAGATAATCCCTCACCACCTGCCTCATTTGGCAGCGGGGGAGTGATGGGAGGTGAAGGGGGAGGTGGTGGGTTTGGGGGCGAAGGGAGGCAGGTGGGGTCAGCGGAACCTCTTGCATCAGCCCTGTCGCGTCGTGTGTGCATGCAGGGCTCAGCCCCCAGCACCAACCAGTCTCTCCCCCGCAGCTCCAGCAGTGCCTGGCTGTGACCCAGGCGGCTTCGCAACACGTCTTCCGCTTCTACCGGGAATCGCTGCAGAGGCGTTACTCCAAGAGCTGAGACAAGCTGGGGCAGGGGGCCGCTCCCACCGCCTCCACCCACCCACCCGCTACAGCCCGAAGCAAACCAGCGGCCCAGCCTTGCCTCTTGGTCCTATGGGCTCATGTGAGCCTGCAGCCATGTCACCACAGGGGCTCCTGCAGGGAGGCTTTGGCCCCTGACAGTCCCCAGGCCTGTAGCCACAGATCCCTGCCCAACAAGGATAACATTCAAAGGAGTTCACATTTATGGAATGGATGAGTCAATAAATTAAATCATTTTAACACGTCTGTGGAGCATCCATTGTCTGCAGGCCCTGCTAGTGAGATCCCAGAGGAGCAGGGAGGTAAGCTGGTATTTGTCAGACGGTACTAAATCTATGAAAAAAATAAAACCAGCCGGGCATGGCGGTTCACACCTGTAATCCCACCACTTTGGGAGTATGAGGCCGGCAGATCATAAGGTCAGGAGTTCAAGACCAGCCTGGCCAACATAGTGAAACTCTGCCTACTAAAAATACAAAAATTAGCTGAGCGTGGTGGCAGGCGCCTGTAATCCCAGCTACTCTGGAGGCTGAGGCAGGAGAATGGTTTGAACCCGGAAGGTGGAGGTTACAGTGAGCCAAGATCGTGCCACTGCACTCCAGCCTGTGTGACAAGAGTGAGACTCCGTCCCAAAAACAACTACAATAACAAAACCCTCTTCCCCCTTCTCCAGCTCAGGTCTCAGGGAGCAAGTACCCTGGGATGCCCACGACAGCTTGTCACCCTGACTGGTCGGTCCCCTCTTGGTCTCAAGCACCCCAACCCCTTCCATCCTCCCCAACACGCACATGAATAGACTCTGGTTTGGCCGCAAGGGTGTCTGGTGTTTAATCTCACGTTGCTGCCGCCCGATGAGCGGTGGCCAGGAAGGGGAGGGGTTCCAGTCCAGCTCGCTCCCGTCTCTAGACGCTCCTGCCGCCGCCGGAGCCTCATCCACCAAGATTCTCCACTCTGTCCAGGGATTCGCTGGGCTGCCGGCCTCATGGTTCACAGTGAGGGCTGTAGGGGCAACTAGGGCGGGTCTCGGGAGGCAAGGTAGGCGGCCAGGGTCACCAGGGCAGCCGCATACGTGCACACGCCCAGCCCGATGGCGAGGACCCCCAGCAGGAAGGCACGGCGGGAGGCGGCCCCTGCCCCCTGGATGTCCCCCTTGGCCCAAGCCTTGTTGGTCTGTAGAGGCAGTGGGCAGCAGTGACCCAGGCATCCCTCAGCCCCAGACCCTTCCCCTGGTCCCTCCTCCACCCAACATACCCATTCATTCATGCATGCATGTATTCCAAAAGCAGATATGTAGCACCTACTATAGGTCAGCCACTAGGGATGCTGAGTGACTAATAAAACATTAAAATAGTATATGCCACTGTTCTAACTCACTTGATTCTCACATTGACCCACAGGTAGCAATTATTCCTGCTTCACAGATGAGAAAAGTGAGGTACAGGTATTGATCGACTTATGCCTATGCAACTTACAACCATTTGACTTTATGACCATAATCGCTAGCCACGACTGCTCCGCGTCTGGCAGCGCAAACGTTGCCCAGATGGGCGTACGACAGTGCGGACCAGCTTCCGGCAGCACTACCATCTCCGCGTGCATATAGCCTACTCAACTTACTACCAAATCGTGTTACGACCGGTCTGTCGGCACCAATCGTGGTCGTTAAGTCGAGCACTAGCTGTACAGGGAAGTTACGTGACTTGCCCAAAATCTTACAGAGGGGTTGGGCACAGTGGTTCATGCCTGTAATCCCAGCACTTTGGGAGGCCGAGGCAGGAGGATCACTTGAGGTTAGGAGTTTGAGACCAAACTGGCCAACATGGTGAAACCCTATCTCTACTAGAACTACAAAAATTAGTCGGGTGTGGTGGCAGGCATCTATAATCCCAGCTACTCAGGAGGCTGAGGCAGGAGAATCATGAATCTGGGAGGCAGAGGTTGCAGTGAGCTGAGATTGTACCACTGCACTCCAGCTTGGGTAACAGAGCGAGACTCCATCTCAAAAAAAAAAAAAAAAAAATCTTGCAGAGAGTGGCAGACTCAGGATTTGAGTTCAGGTGGTTCTTAACTAACACTCTGAGCTGCCTTTCAATGGAATTCCCGCCTCATATACAGCTGTTTTTGTGGTGCATTTTTCTCTTTTATGCGCAGTCCCCTCCCAGTCCCACACACACACTGACCTTCTGGGCTAGACAGAAGGCAGCAATGCCCACAGGCCAGAAACAGCACAGCATGGAGAAGACAGCCAAGCCGAGGTGGTCGTGGGGAAGGAACGGTGAGAGACGGCCGCCCCCATCCGAGTCAGAGTCACTGTCACTGGATGACATATCCTATGTGCAGGAAAGTGCCCAGGTAGGCATCTCCATGCACCTTTCCTGCTCAGTGCTCTGCTCTCCATGGCCCCCAAAGGCTAATACCTGCCCCCAGGGCCTCCCCAGAGATACAAAGAGAGGAAAATACTCAGAGATGGGCTTTTGTTCGTTTGTTTGAGACAGAATTTTGCACTATCACCCAGGCTGGAGTGCAGTGGCTTGATCTCGGCTCACTGCAATCTCTGCCTCCCAGATTCAAGTGTTTCTCCTGCCTCAGTCTCCCAAGTAGCTGGGATTACAGGTGCCTGCCACCACGCCTGGCTAATTTTTATATTTTTATTTATTTACTTATTTATTTAGAGATCGAGTTTGGCTCTGTCGCCAGGCTGAAGTGCAATGGCGCAATCTCAGCTTGCTGCAACCTCCACCTCCCAGGCTCAAGCAGTTCTCCTGCCTCACTCAGCCTCCCGAGTAGCTGGGACTACAGGCGTGTGCCACCACGCCCAGCTAATTTTTGTATTTTTAGTAGAGACAGGGTTTCACCATGTTGGCCAGGATGGTCTCAATCTCTTGACCTGATCCCCCCGCCTCAGCCTCCCACAGTGCTGGGATTACAGCTGTGAGCCACCGCGCCCAGACTTTTTTTTTTTAGTAGAGTTGGGGTTTTGCCATGTTGGCCAGCCTGGACTCAAACGCCTGACTTCAGGTGATCTACCCACCTCGGCCTCCCAAAGTGCTGGGGTTACAGGCGTGAGCCACCACACCTGGCCTAATTTTTGGATTTTTAGTAGAGACTGGCTTTCACTACATTGGTCAGGCTGGTCTTGAACTTCTGACCTAAAGCAATCCACTCACCTTGGCCTCCCAAAGTGCTGGGATTACAGGCATGAGCCACCGCACCCAGCCCCACATGCTTTTCTTACCATGTGACTTTGATATCCTTCCCATCAAGGGATGAGTTCTGTGTCCCATCCCCTTGAATTTGAGCAGGCTTATGACTCACTTGTAATTAACAGAAGGTGGTGGAAGTCATGTTACGTGACTTCCAAAGCGAAATCAGAAAAGGTGAGGCAGCTTCCGCTTTGCTGCAACACTCATGCTGCAGGCTGAGGTATGTAAGTAGCCTGACTGCCCTGAAGCTGTTATGCTGTAAGGAATTCCAAAACAACTCACATGGAGAGACCATATATAGAAGCCCTAAGTACTAAGGATAGTACCCTACTTATTTTTAAAAGTTTTATTAGAGCAAAAGGATGCAAATCAAAATGAGCAATAGAAAGTCATGGATAGGGGCCTGGACGCGGTGGCTCACACCTGTAATCCCAACAATTTGGGAGGCTGAGGCGGGCAGATCACCCGAGGTTGGGAGTTCGAGACCAGCCTGACCAACATAGAGAAACCCCATCTCTACTAAAAATACAAAATTAGCCGGGCATGGTGGCACATGCCTGTAATCCCAGCTACTCAGGAGGTTAAGGCAGGAGAATTGCTTGAACCCAGGAGGCAGAGGTTGTGGTGAGCCAAGATCGCACCACTGTACTTTAAAAAAAAAAAAAAAGGAAGGCTGGGCATGGTGGCTCACACTTGTAATCTCAGTACCTTGGGAGGCCGAGGCAGGCAGACTGCTTGAGCTCAGGTGTTTGAGACCAGCCTGGGCAACATGGCAAAACCTATTCTCTCAAAAAATACCAAAAAACTAGTCAGGCATGGTGGCACATGCCTGTGGTTCCAGCTACTCAGGAGGCTGAGGTGGGAGGATTGCTTGAGCCCAGGAGATCAAGGTTGCAATTAACTACGATCGCTCCACTGCACTCCAGCCTGGGCAACAGAGTGAGACCCTGTCTCACAGAGAGAGAGAGAGAGAGAGAGAAGAGAGCAAGCGAGTGAACAGGGTGGACAGAAGCCAGCGATGCATCCACTTTGAAGACAGAGAACTGTGGAGTCAGAGATCAGAGGAAAAACAGAGCCAAAAGCCCGGCAACAAAGATGAGAGACAAATCTGGAGAGAAAAAGCTAAAGAAACCGGGAGAGACGTAGAACAAGAACCATAACTGGAAATCTCAGAAGCCCAAATGCAGTTGGGAAGTGGGACTCCAGGCCTAAGGCAGGTCTGCGCAGCTGTCAGCCTGCCAGATGCTGGCCGTAGCCAGGCTCACCCCAGCCCCTCCCATGCCTTCCACCAAGGCCTGCTCTTCCTACCTCAACATCAGGAGATCCTGGTTCCCCCAGGCCAGCGCTCACAGAGGGAAGAGGCGGTGACAGGAACTGCAGACCCCTCAGGGACTCGACAAAGGCTATCTCTCTTAAGGGGGACCCCAGCTCATGCCTGCCAGGCTTCTGGGCAGGGGTCTCACATCCTATGTCCTCCAGCAGAGGCTGTTGAAGCTCACAAAGACTAGGGCTGTCCATGGCTTTGATGAAACTTCAGGAGGGGTTTCCTAGGGGTACAGGAAAGAAAAAGTCAAGTGGTCAAGTTGTAAAAGTCTCACTTCACTCAGCCCCTGATCCCTTGCTTTATAGAGACCCAGAGAGAAAAAAAAGATTGGCCTGAGGTTACAAAGAGAACTCAGGGGTCTGGACATTCAATTCTGGTCATTTCTTTTTTTTCTTTTTGAGACAGTCTCGATCTGTCGCCCAGGCTGGTGTGCAGTGGCACGATCTCGGCTCACTGCAGCCTCCGCCTCCTCAGTTCAAGCGATTCTCCTGCCTCAGCCTTGCAAGTAGCTGGGATTACAGGTGCCTGCCACCATGGCCGGCTAATATTTTTGGATTTTTAGTAGAGACGAGGTTTCACTATGTTAGCCAGGCTGGTCTCCAACTCCTGACTTCAGGGGATCCACCTGCCTTAGCCTCCCAGTGCTGGAATTACAGGTGTGAGCCACCGCACCCGGCCAATTTCTGGGCATTTCTCTCAGGCAAAGCCACATACCCATCACACCCTTATCCCAATAATTTGCACCTGTTGCACTACGCCTTACACACTGACATGCCCCAGGAACACTCCCATGCCCATTCCAGGTTCATACACTGCGACCACCTATCCAGGTCCATGCACCCCTCCCAGGTACACACACAGCCATCCCCTACCCCCAGCACTGCCTGGAACTTCACTCTAGCCTACATTCCCCTCCTGTCTCCTAGACCTGCCCCTCAAGTTCCCTGCCACACAGCCCATCTTGGCAAGCCCAGCCTCCACCTCCACACATTCATCTCCCAAAGGACTCCTTGTATATTTGCCCTAAACAGCAGCTCCCGAAAAACACCCCTTTCAGGCCCTCAACCTTCTTCCACATTTATCTCAATTGACTCCCTCCACAATTCTAATCCCCACTGCAACACAAACCACAGACGTGTGTGCACACGCACACGTGCACAGGCTTCCCGCCCGTGCACCCAGCACTCTCCCCTATTCCCATGACTTCTCTGGCATGCCTGCCCCACTCATCAGGCCCAGGCGCCCCTCCCCTGCTCCACCCACACCCATGACTCCGCACTACTCCCACACACACACCAGCTCTCCAGAATCCTCCTTTGCACACCTCGCCCCATAAACACCCTCAACCCAGCACACACATACACATACACATACACACACTCAACACAACCGGAGAGAATATTCTTTTCGTCCTACGATCCCCCTGGGAGGCCCCCACGCCTCCTGCCCGCTCACTCCAAACCTTGATTTCCTCGCCAAAGCTGTGCCCTCTCATCCCGCAACGTCAAGACCCAGGGGAGGGACTGTGGCCCCCTCACCTCCTCCCATCACTCACCGCTCACGATCACAGGCCAGGGCCTCCTGTATCCCCCGCACCGACACCCGCCCGGACCCTGCCACCGGTGGGGTGGGCAAACAGCGCACCCAGAGTCCGGCCGCCCGAGGGGTGCGGGGACCTAGCGCTCTGCTCCTAGCGGGTCTTACCGCCCCGGGCCTGCTGCGCCCGGGGGTGGGGGTGGGGTGGGGACAGGGCGGGGCGACAGCCTCCCAGGCTCCGCCCCTCCGCAGCGGCCTGGCGAGGGAGCCCTGAAGGCCGACGTCAGCATCTGGGAGCGGGTTCCCACGACTCCCTGGAGTCCGGGAGCAGGCGGGAAATCCCTGGAGAACGGATAACGAGAGCCCCTTCCCCGCGAGCCCAGGCCCAAGCGCTGCCGGAGAAGGGGGCGCCCCGGATTCTCCGGGGCCTTCCTGGCTTGGTCCCGCCTCCCTTCCCCTTTACGCATTAATAGCCAATAATAATAACAGCAACAAGGACCCTGCGCTCTAAGTGCTTTGCAAATAAACATGCATACACGTGTGTTCTTCAGCACAACCCTAAGAGGCACAATCGTTTATTGTCCTCTGTTTCATGGCGGAGGCTGAGGTTAGATAAATTGCTTGAGGACACAGCACCAGTTCATTGAGGGCAGACTATGCCCAAGCTCAAGTTATCATTGCATTCATTCCTGCTCTCAGTAGCTCCGGGTTTTTTTGTTTTGTTTTGTTTTGTTTTTGTCGTTGTTGTCACTGCTATTTTACTTTGTTTTTTTGTTTTTGTTTTTGTTCTTTGTTTTTTTGAGAGGGAGTCTCACTCTGTCGCCCAGGATGGAGTGCAGTGGTGTGATCTTGGCTCACCGCAATCTTCACTTCTCCACTTCAAGCAATTCTCCTGCCTCAGCCTCCCGAGTAGCTGGAATTACAGGCACATGCCACCACAACCAGCTAATTTTTGTATTTTTAGTAGAGACAAAATTTAGCCATGTTGGCCAGGTTGGTCTCGAACTCCTGACCTCATGATCTGCCCACCTCGCCTCCCAAAGTGCTGGGATTATAGGAGTGAGCCACCAGGCCAGGCCAGATTTTTTTATTTTTTAAAAGACAGGGTCTTGCTTTGTTGCCCAGGCTGGAATGCAGTGGCATGATCCTCGCTGCAGCCTCAGACCCCTGGGCTCAAAGCGATGGGATTACAGGTTTGAGCCACTGCACCTGGCCTTTTTTGTTTGGGGGTTTTTTTTTGGGGGGGGGGGGGGGTTGCTGAGGGGTTGACTTGTTTTTAATCTGTTTTGCAGATAAATAAACTGGGGCTCAGAGATGTATGCTCACTTGGCCACAGTAAGTAAACAGCTGGTACCAAGCCCAGCAGATAATAACCCAGGGCTGTGTTCCTGCGGCCCTTGCTGACTCAATGGGCAAGGAGGAAGCAGAGGCAGGTGGGGTGGGAGCTTCTAGGGAAATGCAGCTCAGGAGTGGGGTCCAGTAGGGGTGATGCTCTGACTGTCATGTGGTACAAGTAATGTTCATGAGTCAGCGTTTGGAGCCACACAGCAGACCACAGACCTGGGTTCCTTTCCAGGCTCTCTTTTGCGGGGGAGGGGAGCGGGGATGGAGTTTCACTCTTGTTGCCCAGGCTGGAGTGCAATGGCTTAATCTCAACTCACTGCAACCTCCACCTCCTGGGTTCAAGCGATTCTCCTTCCTCAGCCTCCCAAGTACCAAGGATTACAGGCATGCACCACCACACCCGGCTAATTTTGTATTTTTAGTAGAGACGGGGTTTCTCCATGTTGGTCAGGCTGGTTTCGAACTCCTGACCTCAGGTGATCCACCCACCTCGGCCTCCCAAAGTGCTGAGATTACAGGTGTGAGCCACCGTGGCTGGCCCCTTTCCAGGTTCTTTAGGGCACTGAGTGTGTGGCCTCTAGACAATGCCTTCCCTCCTCTAAACCCCAAATTCTTCACCTGCAAAATGGAGATAATGCTCCTTACCTCTACGTGATAACATATGTGGAGTACTTGGAGTTGGTGCAACACCAAATGTCCAACATTGGGAGCCTCTCTGAACCTATTTTGCTTCAGGAGCTGCCTAGGAAATAGAAAAATTAAAAATTAAAAAGAACAAATATCCAACATTCATCCAAAGGCTGGCAAAGAAAGCACTCTGAACTCACTTGATGGTATTTATTATTATTTACATCCATCTCCTTCGGACTGATTACAATACAAGACTCTCCTCTTTATCTTGCAAGCCTCTACCTCCTTCAGGGAGCCTCACATTGGCCTCCCTTCCCAGAAGCCCTCTGTCACACCAGATTGGAGGATTCCCCGGTCTTTGTGGGGCCGGAGTTCCCTCGCTCCAGGGCTCCAGGGCTCTGTGCCAAGAGTCCAGATGCTGGAGCTGGCACCAGCCCCACTCCCAGAGAGAACAGATGGCGTCTGCAAGTGCACTTGGCTCAGTTTCTGGCAGACGACAGCAGAAGGGAGACCCATGGGAGGCTAGATGAGAGTGTGAGGGGGCAGGATTGTTTTGCCCAGGAGGGATGCCCTGTTACTCTCTCTCTCAACCTTGCTCTAATTATTTTCATATTACTATGAAACATACCATAGGCCGGGCGCGGTGGCTCACGCCTATAATCCGAGCACTTTGGGAGGTCGAGGCGGGAGGACTGCTTGAGCCTAGGAGTTTAAAACCAGCCTAAGTGACACAGCAAAACCCCAGTCACCGAGGCTGGAATGCAGTGACACGATCTCGGATCACAGCAACCTCCACCTCCCAGGTTCAAGCCATTCTCCCGCCTCAGCCTCCCAAGTAGTTGGGATTATAGGCGCCTGCCACCACAACTGGCTAATTTTGTACTTTTAGTAGAGATGGGGTTTCACCATGTTGCCCAGGCTGGTCTTGAACTCCTAACTTCAAGTGATCTGCCTGCCTTGGCCTCCCAAAGTGTTGGGATTATAGGCGTGAGCCACCGCACCAAAAACAATTAAAAAAAAAAATTAAGGCCGTGAGCAGTGGCTCACACCTATAATCTCAGCACTCTGGGAGGCCAAGATGGGCAGATTACCTGAGGTCGGGAATTCAAGACCACCCTGACCAACATGGAGAAACCCTGTCTTTACTAAAAATACAAAATTAGCAGGCCGGGCACAGTGGCTAACCCCTGTAATCCCAGCACTTTGGGAGGCCGAGGTGGGCAGATCACGAGGTCAAGAGGTCCAGGCCATCCTGGCCAACATAGTGAAACCCCATCTCTACTCAAATACAAAAATTAGCTGGGCGTCGTGGCGCGCGTCTGTAGTCCCAGCTACTTGGGAGGCTGAGGCAGGTGAATTTCTTGAACCTGGGAGGTGGCGGTTGCAGTGAGCCAAGATCGCGCCACTACACTCCAGCCTGTCGCCTGGCAACAGAGCGAGACTCTGTCTCAAAAAAAAAAAAAAAAAAAAAAAAAAAAAATACAAAATTAGCCAGGCATGGTGGTGCATGCCTGTAATCCCAGCTACTCAGGAGGCTGAGGTGTGAGAATCGCTTGAGCCCGGGAGGCGGAGGTTGTGGTGAGCTGAGATCACGCCATTGCACTCCAGTGACAGAGTGAGACTGTGTCTCCAAAAAAAAAAAGAACAAGGTATTTATTTATTCTCAAAGTATCTTCCCCCAGATTACTTATTGCAATAAAAAAAAAAAGATAGTACTAATGGGGAATACTGGCAGACATCACAAAAACCAGATGATACAAGTTAACATCACCATTAACAGGAGAAATTGACCTTATGTGCGTCTCATGTCAGGCAAAGAGGGAGACACACATCATTTCTTTGGTTTTGCTGCCAAAATGTATAACTTGATTCTAATAATAACAAAACATGAAACGAAGCCAAAATGAGGGACACTCTATAAAGGATGTGGCCTGGGCCATGCACAGTGGTTCATGCCTGTTAATTTCAGCACTTTGGGAGGCCAAGGCAGGCGGATCACGAGGTCAGGAGTTCGAGACCAGCCTGGCCAATGTGGTGAAATCCCGTCTCTACTAAAAATACAAAAATTAGCTGGGCATGGTGGCACATGTCTGTAGTGTCAGCTACTCAGGAGGCTGTGGCAGAAGAATCGCTTGAACCCAGGAGGCAGAGGTTGCTGTGAGCCGAGATCACGCCACTGCATTCCAGCCTAGGTGACAGAGCAAGATTCCGTCTCAAAAAATAAATAAGTAAAGGAGGTGGCCTGTAACCTTCAAAACATCAATGTTATGAAAAAGCAAAGAAATAATAACCATAAAATAAAGTGCTGACCAGGTACAGTGGCTCATGCCTGTAAGCCCAGCACTTTGAGAGGCCAAAGCAGGAGGATCGCCTGAGCCCAGAGTTCCAGACCAGCCTGGGCAACTAAGTAAGGCTCCCATCTCTCCAAAACATTTTCTTTATTCATTTTGAGATGGAGTCCTGCTCTGTCACCATGCTGGAATGCAGTGGCGTGATCTGGGCTCACTGCAACCTCTGACTCCCTGGTTCAAGCAATTCGCAATGAGACAGGATTTCACCATATTGGCCAGCATGGTCTCCATCTCCTGACCTCGTGATCCTCCCGCCTCAGCCTCTCAAAGTGCTGGGATTACAGGTGTGAGCCAACTTGACCAGTCAACTTTTTTTTTTTTTTTTGAAAGGAAGTCTCACTTTGTTGCCCAGACTGGAGTGCAATGGCATGATGTCACCTTACTGCAAATTCTGCCTCCCAGGTTCAAGTGAATCTCCTGCCTCAGCCTCTGAGAAGCTCGGACTACAGGCACGTTTCACCATGCCTGACTAATTTTTATATTTTTAGTAAACAGGTTTTCACCATGTTACCAAGGCTGGTCTCGAACTCCTAGCCTCAAGTGATTTCCCCCCCCCGGTCCCCTGCCATCTCAGCCACCCAAAGTGCTGTGATTACAGGTGTGAACTACTGAGCCCTCCCTGTCTCTCCAAAACTTAAAAAAAAAAAAGTCGAGAACAGTGGCACACACCTGTAGTCCCAGCTACTTGGGAGGCTGAGGTGGGAGGATCACTTGAATCCAGGAGTTGCTATGATGGCACTATAGTCTGAGTGGCAGAGCAAGTCTCTAAGTCAAAAAGACAAGGGTCAGGGAGGAAGAAATCCTGTTGCATGCTACAACCTGGATGACCCTGAGGACACTAGGCTAAGTGAAATAATCCAGTCATAAGAGGACAAATACCGCAGGATTCCACTTACATGAGGTACTCAGAGTACTCACATTCGCAGAGATGGAAAACAGGATAGTGGGCCAGGCTCAGTGCTTCACACCTGTAATTCCAGCATTCTGGGAGGCCAAGGTGGGCACATCACCTGAGGTCAGGAGTTCAAAACCAGTCTGGCCAACACGGCAAAACTCGGTCTCTACTAAAAATACAAAATTTAGCCAGGTGTGGTAGCGCATGCCTGTAATATCAGCTACTCAGGAGGCTGAGGCACAAGAATTGCTTGAACCCGTGAGGGAGATGTTGCAGTGAGCTGAGATCTTACCACAACACTCCAGCCTGGATGACAGAGCAAGATCCTGTCTCAAAAAAAATAAAAAACTGGCTGGGCTTGGTGGCTCACGCCTGTAATCCAAGCACTTTGGAGGCCAAGGCGGGCGGATCACCTGAGGTCGGGAGTTCAAAACCAGCCTGACCAACATGGTGAAACCCCGTCTCAAAAAATAAATAAATAAAATTAAATTAAAAACAGGCCAGGCACGGCAGCTCACGCCTGTAATCCCAGCACTTTGGGAGGGTGAGGCGGGCAGATCACCTGAGGTTAGGAGTTCAAGTACAGCCTGGCCAACATGGTGAAACCCCATCTCTACTAAAAAAACAAAAATTAGTTGGGAGTGGTGGCAGGTGCCTGTCATTCCAGCTACTTGGGAGGCTGAGGCAGGAGAATTGCTTGGAGCCAGGAGGCGGAGGTTGCAGTGAGCCAGGATCACTTCACTACATACACTCCAGCCTGGGCTACAAGTGAGACTTCATCTCAAAAAGATAAATAAAAAAAGAAAATAGGATGGCGATTACCAGGAGCTGGGGGGCGGGGGCGGATAGGGGAGTTGTTTTGTTTCAAAAATGTGTTTAATTTGCAAAAAAGTAAGAAAATAGTTGTGGAGATTGGTTGCACAACAATGTAAATGTACTTAACACTATTAAACAATAGAGTTTTTAATAGTTAAGATAGTAAATGTGTATTTTACCACAATGAAAAGTTGAGGTGGTTTTTTTTTTTTTTTTGAGACGGAGTTTCACTCATGTTACCCAGGCTGGAGTGCAATGGCGCCATCTCGGCTCACCGCAACCTCCGCCTCCTGGGTTCAGGCAATTCTCCTGCCTCAGCCTCCTGAGTAGCTGGGATTACAGGCACGCGCCACCATGCCCAGCTGATTTTTTGTAGTTTTAGTAGAGACGGGGTTTCACCATGTTGACCAGGATGGTCTCGATCTCTTGACCTCGTGATCCACCCGCCTCGGCCTCCCAAAGTGCTGGGATTACAGGCGTGAGCCACCGCGCCCGGCCAAAAGTTGAGGTTTTTTGTTTGTTTTGAGACACTGTCTCACTCTGTCATCCAGGCTGGAGTGCAGTGGCACGATCTTGGTTCACTGCAACCTCTGCCTCCTTGGTTCAAGCAATTCTCGTGCCTCAGCGTCCTGAGTAGCTGGGGCTACAGGCGCTCACCACCACGCCCAGCTGATTTTTTTTCTTTTTTTTTTTTTTAACCACAATTGGGTAAATGTGTATTTTACCACAATTAAAAGTTAGGAGTAGTAAGGAAGGCTAAGGCAGGAGAATCTCTTGAACCCAGGAGGCAGAGGTTGCAGAGAGCAGAGATTGCACCATTATACTCCAGCCTGGGCAACAATAGTGAAAATTTGTCTCAAAACAACAATAACTAGCCGGGACTACTGGCTGTGCACCACACTTGGCTTAAAAGCATTTTGTTGACAAGATGGCGCCGAAAGCGAAGAAGGAAGCTCCTGCCCCTCCTAAAGCTGAAGCCAAAGCGAAGGCTTTAAAGGCCAAGAAGGCAGTGTTGAAAGGTGTCCACAGCCACAAAAAAAAGAAGATCCG